ACTACAAGGAAGCCTATTTATTGATTTAAAAAATATCTAGAATAGTTTGCTTTTGTACACATAAAATATTTTATGATTTTTATACGCCCACATTGAAATGTTGTCGTATATTGCCGTCACCCCTGTCAGTCCGTCCGTCCATGCTTCCATCGTCCACAATTTCTTGTGAACACTCTACAGACTACATTTATCATCTGATTGTTTTGAAATTGATATATGTTATTTGCATTAGTGAGATGAAGAAGCCTATTTAATTTCAAAAACTTCTGTTAATTTCTTCTGGAGTGCTGGAGACTGCTAATAAGTCTGGGGAGTCTGAGATTGAGGAGATTGTGCCCCCCACTCCGCAACCGATTGGTGGAGATCCACCCAAAAATGCTAACAATGAACGTTCTGGTAAGGGCGTTCCTAAAAATTCAAAACTTAATACCTACCGTAGTAGGAAAGGTGACGAGGATCCTGTCGGAACATATAACAGGTTCGGGATACAGGACAATCAAATGGATGTTTTTATACGCCCAAATTGAAATGTGGACGTATATTTTGTCGTCGCCCTCGTCCGTCCGTCGATCGTCCACAATTTCTTGTGAACGCTCTAACGCCAAAAGTTATCATCCAATTGTTTTAAAATTGATATATGTTGTTTACATTAGTGAGACGAAGAAGCCGATCTGTTATCAACCGATCTGTATGAAATTTATATGCATCATTTAAATTAGTAAAACAAAGAAGCCTATTGAATTTCAGCAATTTCCGTTAATTACATCTAGAGTTACGGCCCTTGTTTCACTTTGTTGAATCTTGTCAATGCTCTAATGACAACAGTTATCATCCGATCTGTTTGAAATTGAATTGATATGCATCATTTAAATTAGTGAAACAAAAAAGCCTATTGAATTTCAGCAATTTCCGTTAATTACGCCGTGAGTTATGGCTCTTGTTTCACTTTGTTGTACCTTGTGAATGCTCTAACGACAAAAGTTATTATCTGATCTGTATCCTATTGAATTTCAGCAATTTCTGTTTATTAATTCTAGAGTTATTGCCCTTGTTTCACTTTGTCCAACCTTGTTAATGCTCGATTGATGAAAGTTATCATCCGATATGTATGAAATTTATATGCATCATTTAAATTTGTGAAACGGAAGTCTATTGAATTTCAGCAATTTCCGTCAATAACTTCTAGAGTTATGGCGGTTGTGAACCTTGTGAACGTTTGAATGACAAAAGTGGTCATCTGATGTGTATGAAATTTATATGCATTATTTAAATTAGAAAACGAAAAAGCCAGTCAAATTTCAACAATTTCTGTAGATTATTTCCAGAGTTGAGACCCTTGTTTCAGTTAATAGAACCTTCTGATCCCGGACGATTTAGCTGCTGTAGGCGTATGTTTCGTTGCCTGGCAACCTATCTTTATCTGTCGGGTTATAAAAAGGGGAGATTTTCCATGTCCCCACTCAGCCTCCATACAATTGTAAACAGCGCCATCTGTTACCAAACTGAGCTTAGAATTATGACACCTTTATCACGTAACATTTGTGAAATGTCATAATGTTAACGAAACAAACCAGGCTACAGTAAATTAAAAGTAATAATGGTAGGGTGACCCGTGCACTCTACAGAAAGTTGGTCTCGACACGGCTAAATGTGCACGCTTCAGTTGCGTGTCTCGAACTGATTTCTGACTACCCCGCACTCTCTTTGAGTCGATAAATAGCCATGGCACGTGCAATTCTCTACAAATATATCAACTATTACAGCCGTAAAAAATCTATTGTTGACGATTTTGAATAGCAGTAAAATTTAGCTTCTTGGTTATTACAGCAGCTTTAGAAAATATGTTTGTTTTATTTTTTAAATTGCTTTATCATTAACTGTACCGTTAAGAGCGGCTTCTTTTGGTTTAGTACAAATACTATCTCTGAATCACTTTCTTTAGCAGGAACATGATACTAGCAGTAGTTTCATTTTACTTTTACAAGTTTCTTAAAACAATTGTTGAGTTGTCTAAAGTGCTTATTTCTAAATTCAATTTCTTGTTCTAGCTTTTTGTTATGTTTCGTAAAAAAGTAGTCTTGATTATCCCGACCTGTCAATCAGACGTAGAATGGTCGATAGACTGGTTAAGCGAGGCTAATTTCAAAACAAGGGCACGTAACCTATCTTTTACTCAAAAGTGTCTGGATGTTATGGACGACACTTGGAACCAGTTTTCAGTCTATTATTTATAGATGATTAATGGTCATAGCTTATTAAGTAGAACATGATCATTTATTTAGTGACTATAATTGTGTGAAACTGATTTGAGGCTTGGCATATATATAAATATTGTGGCGTAATTGTCGAGATATTTGGAGATATTCATTTATGGTGGGTCACCCTAATAATGGAAATAAAACAAAATACAAATTCTAACTGCAATATTTAAAAGCTATGTCATATAATATAATATTTCTACATGTGTAAATAGCCAATTTAACATGCGTTAATAAGAAGTTACATGCATAGAAGTAAGCACATTAGCATACGCATTACTAGGTTAGGAGTTAGAATTATGGGGGAAATTCCGCTCCATACCCGAGCACTAACACAAAGGTGCTAATTAATCGGTGAGATTAACAGAAGTTATTCCCGCAAAAGTTATGATATACTAAACCTAGATTACTAATTTATGGACTATTCTCTTTTGTTCTAAATTATAAAATGAAATGAAATGAAATGGGGTTTAACGTCCTACTGTTCTGCTCCTATACTGGGCTAATGAAGACGGTCTAAATTATAACACTGAGAGTAATATTAAACGAAAATATAACAAAAATATGGCGTGGTTGCTATGTAATTTTGTTTTAGAACATACCAACATCTTTAACTTGCTTTTTCTCAAAACTACCTTTTCTGACTTGGGCAACTTAAAACAGATATAGCTCAGCCAATTTGGCCCGGTTCATACCAACTATACATCATTTTGAAGGTATTGAGGTGGAGACTGTAAAGATAAGAATAACTAAAATTTTAAAATTTCCTCATTGCGACTGAATTTGCCACCACGGGTCACATTTTTATATGCCCACATTGAAATGTGGACGTATATTGCCGTCGCCCCCGCCCGTCGGACCGTCGTCCACAATTTCTCGTGAACGCTCGAACGCCAAAAGTTATCATCCAATTGTTTTAAAATTGATATATGTTGTTTACATTAGTGAGATGAAGAAGCCTATTTAATTTCAATAATTTCCGTTTATTAGGTCTAGAGTTATGGCCCCTGTTTCACTTTGTTGAACCTTGTGAACGCTCTAATGCCAAAAGTTAACATACGATCTTTGTGAAATTTATATGCAATATTTAAGTTATTGAAACGAAAAAGCCTATTGAATTTCAACAATTTCTGTTTATTATGTCTAGAGTTATGGCCCTTGTTTCACTTTATTGAAGCTTGTGAACGCTCTAACTCAAAAAGTTATCATCCGATCTTTCTGAAATTTATATGCATTATTTACATTAGTGAAACGAAGAAGCCTACTGAATTTCAGCAATTTCTGTTTACTACATCTAGAGTTATGGCCCTTGTTTCACTTGACTGCACCTTGTGAACGCGGTTAAGGCCATAAGTTAGCACCCAATCGTTTATATGCATGATTTAAATTAGTGAAACGAAGAGGCCTATTGAATTTCAGCAATTTCCGATTATTACGTCAAGAGTTATGGCCCTTGTTTCACTTTAATGAACCTTGTGAACGCTCTAACGTCAAAAGTTATCATTCAATCTCTCTGAAAATTATATGCCTTATTTAAATTAGTGAGACGAAGAAACCTATTGAATTTCAGCAATTTCCGTTTATTACATCTAGAGTTATGGCCCTTGTTTCACTTTATTGAACCTTGTAAACGCTCCAACACCAAAAGTTATCACCCAATCTTTGTGAAATTTATATGCATTATTAAGATTAGTGAAACGAAGAAGCCTATTGAATTTCAGCAATTTCCGTTTATTATGTCTAGAATTATGGCCCTTGATTCACTTTATTGATCCTTGTGAACGCCCTAACGCCAAAAGTTATGACCCGATCTTTGTAAAATTTATATGCATGATTTAAATTAGTGAAACGAAAAAGCCTATTGAATTTCAGCAATTTACAATAATTACTTCTACAGTTATTGCCTTTGTTTCACTTTGTTAAACCTTGTTAATGCTCGATTGATGAAAGTTATCATCCGATGTGTATGAAATTTTTATGCATCATTTAAATTTGTGAAACAGGTCTATTGAATTTCAGCAATTTCCGTCAATAATTTCTAGAGTTATGGCGGTTGTGAACCTTGTGAACGTTTGAATGACAAAAGTGGTCATCTGATGTGTATGAAATATATATGGCGATTGTGAACGTTTGAATGACAAAAGTGATCATGTGATCTGTATGAAATTTATATGCATTATTTAAATTAGTAAAATGAAAAAGCCTGTCAAATTTCAACAATTTCTGTAGATTACTTCCAGAGTTGAGACCCTTGTTTCAGTTTGTAGAACCTTGTAAACCCTCAAACGACAAAATTTATAATCTGATCTGATTAAATATTACCTACAAAGGAATAAATATGCGACAACCCTTGTCGACCGCTCGGACGATTTAGCTGCTGTGGGCGTATATTTTGTTGCCTGGCAACCTATCTTATAAAATATATGTCCATACACAAATTATGTAAAAAAGGTCTTTGTTATGAGGTAGCGGAGGGAAATTTGAGTATGTCCACTTGTTTAATACTTTTTAAACTTCAATAAATTGTTTTGTAGGTAATTTGAGCCTCTCGAGTCTCAATAACTTCATCAATTACTCATGAATTTATAAAATTTGGACAGGGGCTTTTTTGTGGTCCAAAGACTATGCGTATTCCCAAAGGATGTGAAAATATAGGGAATTTAGTAGATTTTTTGAGTATTCATATTTAATTAATATCTTTAAAAACCCAAATTTTAAATTTTATTTGTTTATAACCATCAGATCCAAAAACAGATATAAAACCTGAAGGCCAGCAAATGGACTCATCTTCTAGTCATAAAAGGAGTAAACATGAAGGAAAAGACAAGAAGACCAAGGAAAAGAAAGGAAAGTGTGAGAAATCTACAGATCATGGAATTGTTATTAATGTTAAAAATGAACCTGGAGAAATATCTGATAGTGAAGACATCTTGACCATAGAAGAAAAAGATGATGTTACTGTAGAGGTAGATGATACTCCTATTCGACAAACAGCTGATGAATCAGTAGTACAAACATATGATGTACCAGTACTACAGATATCTCAAACAGCAGATGAATCATTGAAGAAGACACTGGAACCAATAGAAATAACACCTGAACATGTGGTAGATGATGTAGAACCTGAATTATTAGTTAGAGCTGACACAGGTAAAATATTGAACGGATTACCAGACAAGAGATATTGAAATTATTACTTACTAAATTAGTAATATTGAAATTATTACTTACTAAATTAGTAATATTGAAATAATTACTAAACTACTGTATACAAAACACAGTGTATTATGTCTTCACCCAAATTTGGTGTAAAGCATAAGGGTCATAAGTGGACGAACTGTATCGAAATGGAAATGTGGTCTGTCTACTGACCGTCTGTCATCAACAGATCACTCTACAGATCTTTTTAGAATTTATGTATGTTGTGGATTGAAGCCCCCCTCAGACCCAGTCCCAAATTACATATTATCTGAATTTTTTTCGCACCTACGGCGCTAAAAGCTCAGTTACCTAAATATTATACCTAGCTGTCCGAAATTTTTGTCCGCCTTTGGCGCTTGATTCCTTTTTATACACCCACATAGAAATGTGGATGTATATATATTGCTGTCGCCCCCATCCGTCGTCCACAATTTCTTGTGAATTTCTTGTGCAGGCACAATCAAACTTCATCACATAAAGCCTCTCTTAGGAGACTGGCCAAGCTCCTATAGCACTAACAGGAGGGATGAGGTTGTTTTGTGTCGCTCTCGCATAGGTCATACATTTTTAACCCACATTTTCATCTTGAAGCAAGAGCCTCTACCAGAATGTGAATAATGTCATATTCCTTTGACAGTTAAGCACATTCTTATTGAGTGCAAGCATCTCAAGGATATTTGTTTTTATTTACATATATAATTACAATTTTGTGATATTTCCTTAATTTGTCTTATTAAATTCATCATGTGTTTGGCGCAATATAGCCCAGTTGGAGCTGACGTGCCATTAAACTCCATTTCATTCATTAATTCAATTCTATCTCCAAAAGTTATTATCCGATTGTTTTAGAACCTTGTGAACGCTATTACTCCAAAAGTTATCATTCAATATTTGTGAAATTTTTATGACACAAGCCACGATAAGGTGTAGAACTTCAGATGAAAAGGCAGTTAAATTTAAATTAATTTTTTCCAATTCTTTGGGGGTCAAAAACTTGTATTAATAATTCATCTTTCAAATTTTGTAATGGAAAAGATAACTTGTCGTCTGTTTTTGTTTTTGTGCAAATACATATTTTGCAGACCAAGCGAGCTTGTAACAGACGTGACATGTCCAATTAATATTTGCCCCAAATTTGCTAATAAATACTGGCCGAGTTTATTTGTAGTGTGATAATATCAAAACTGATAACTCTTCTACACTCTTTCTTGGGCATGATTTCATTGTTATTCTCAGCCGATATGTTACAATATTTGATGAATGATTATTTTATTATTAAACTTTACTGCTCTGTACTGTTTTATCAATATTGTACAAAATATTTGTAACGGACATGACTCCCTACTATGTAACGTATGTGACCTTTTGTAACAGACGTTACTATTGACCCAATTAATAGGGTGAGGTGTATCTGAGTACAATGTCGGTGTTTTAACTGTTTAACAATCTTTTCCATTTTTAGTTTAAGGACATTTAAAAAGAAGACAATCTATGTAATTTAATAAAGACTCATCAATTTCTTTAGGTTATCTTAGCTTCTTGTAACGGTAGTGATGTTTGACATTATCAATTTCATCCACCATCACATCCGTTACACGTATAACCGAAGGTCAAACTGTTATTAAATTTGGGTGAGTCTTTCATTTTTTTTCGATCACCCAAATGTGTGGAGCGGCTCTTGATTTTGAGCGCAAAACAGGTGGCTTTGGCATCTCTAATGTCCTCAATTTTTGCCAAATTCTTGTAATAATATAACGGACATGATTTTGGCATAACGGACGTGCCGACAACAAAAGTTTATGGACGGAATTTACATATCGGGTCCCCGCGTCGGCTGTTCTTAACCCTTTCCATGCTAGACCCTTTTTTAAGGAAAAAAAGGGGGTTGGAAATGAATGCCAAACAGTACTTATGGAAGCTTTTATGAAAAATCTTTTTGTCTGTTGGGATGGGCATAAGGTTGGGCTAAGTGGATAAAAAAATAGAATTTTGGAAATTTGCATAATAATGTAGTCACGTGACGTCATGGCGGCCATTTTGGATTACTCATTTCTCACTAAAGCTAACACGAATACGAATTTTTCTTCATGAAATACTTATGAGATATTGTTTTTTTCACTGGATTTTGATAAAGATATATAAAATGAACAAAAATATCAATAGCAGCCATGAGCAATGCCACCACGAACACGCGCATCACGTCTCCCGCTGCCATGACCACGTGCGGATTGCAATACCTTGTTTTCACTTTCACTTTCACTTTCATCCCCAAGTCCAATATCATGATATCATTATCAATATAGTCAGTCAATAGATCTACACGTTCGGGACTCAGGAATTGCCTATGCTCTTTACGATCCAGCAGGTCAGCATTATTATCAACATCAGAATTATTGTCAGAATCTACGGCAGACACAGGGCTATCGTGTTCACATTGGGCTTGTTCATCATGCACGGGAGACATAGCCACACGTACTTCATAATACCAATCACAGTCCTCACTACTATCATTATCAAGTAACTGGAAACAAATTATGTGTATCACCCACCTTGAAATTGTCCACGTGTTGGTCTGCAAGACGTCATTCACGACTTCGTCGAGAGTGCATCGTCTACGTTGTCACTATGCACTTCGCCATTTTACGGTTTGCCGCTTTGAAACACGTGGAAATATGTTCTAATGTATAGAAAATACGGGCTATACTATATACCGGAAAACCAACGGAAAACACCATGTTATACTGAATACCGGAAAAACACTAAATACCGGAAAACACACTAAATACCGGAAAACACCCTAAATAGGTAACCCAGAGAAGGGCTATACTATAAACCGGAAACTAACCCTAACCCTAACCCAGGCACACGGAGGACCAGGCTCCTGGTTACCTATTTAGGGTGCCAGTCTCCAGGTTACCTATTTAGGGTATTCTCCGGTATTTAGTGTGTTTTCCGGTATTTAGTGTTTTTCCGGTATTCAGTATAAAATGGTGTTTTCCGGTTGTTTTCCGGTATATAGTATTGCCGGAAAATACAATAGATGGCACTTGCAGTTACGGTACTAATTTTAGCGAGGGCTTTACTGAGTACACGGTAATACCGGGTACGCATATTTTAACGACATTTTATAATACCTGGTACTACCGGGTAGACGCAATGAAAGGGTTAATTACCCGCAAAATCGTGAGGTATACGAACAGTGTGTAGGACAAGGGAGCTAATAACTGCGGGAGTGACATAGATTTAAAACAGGACAGGAAATATCGAACATCATAAATGGAAATAATGGGTGTGATTCTTTGACAGAATCTCAAATGGACGATCGAAAATCTGAAAAGTTTCTTCTCAAACGTCTCTAGATCAACAGAAATTCTTACATCATATCACTCAAGTATGCCTCTTCATTTGTAACATAAACATAAATATAGATACAGGTGGTGAGCCACTCTTTCAATAAAATAAAACATCAGGTTTTTTGGCTGGAATTTATAACGTTAGTTACACACTTTTTTAAACAATTTTTTTATTGAAAAATATTAAGATTGTTGGAATTTGACACTTCTGGTGGATAGAAACATCCCTTACTTCATTTTAAGATACAATTTTGAGATTTCAACTCATCTCTTCAGTATCAAAATACTTTCCTTTTTTCAACACCATCAAGTGGGACAAATTGAGACCCCAAAAAGGGGGGTATTTTTTTTTTTGGCACAGTTCCTGCATAAGATTTACTGTTTGCTTTAGTGTGTTACGTTTAATTTGATCAGGAGACGTGTTCGTCAACGTCAACCGATAACACTACAAGAATTGGCCCTGGCACTGCAAGAGGAGTAGGTCAGATTGCCCCAAATCGTGATTGGATGGTTGATTAGGAGCATGCCACGATGAATTGCTGATTGGTGGAGCAATTACTCATTATTAAGACAAAAATCAAAATATTTTCACTTTTGACGGTGTATCTCTTTGCGAGTGAAATGGGGCAGTCAGATAAGCTGCCCATATGAACTGTTTATGTTCATGTGTAGGCAATTGGCCTGTTATTAACATACACTGGTTACCTCTAATAAAAACAGCAGTGCATTTCCGCAGTTTTGTATTGTTTCTGAATATCCCCGACTTTTTTGGAAGCGTATATTTATTATACGCCCACATTTTCATGTGGAAGTATATTGTCGTCACCCCTGTTTGTCCGTCCGTCCAGACGTCCGGCCACAATTTGTTTGTGGACACTCTACAGGTCACAATTTTTATCCGATTTCAACGAAACTTGAAATATAGCTTTATCTCCATAAGATCTCGGATCCTTTCGATATTGGCATGTATCGGACCATAACTTCATGAATTATGGTCCCTGATAGTACAAAAATCACGTTTTTAGCTTGTGGACAATCTAGAGGTCACAATTTTGATCCGATTTTGATGAAACTTAAAATGCATGTTTATAACTCAAAGATCTTGGTTCCTTTCGATATTCACGCATATCGGATCGTAACTTCCTGAATTATGTCCCCTGATTATACGAAAAATCGCGTTTTTAGCTTGTGGACCCTTTTGAGGTCATAATTTTTATCTGATTTAAAAAACCGTATTATTATATCACCGTTACACCCTAAAGACGGCTGAGTTTGAATTTCGTGAAAATTGGCCTAAAACTGACAGACAAAATGGCCGTCGTTCATTCTCAAATAGCATAGAAATATGGTATATCAAGGTTGTGGACCCTTTTGAGGTCACAATTTTAATCCTATTTTTATACGCCCACATTTTCATGTGGACGTATATTGTCGTCGCCCCTGTCCGTCCGGACGTCCATCCACAATTGTTTGTGGACTCTCTACAGGTCACAATTCTTATCCGATTTTGACGAAACTTTAAATATAGGTTTATCCCCAAAAAATCTCGGCTGCTTTCGATATTGGCATGTATCGGATTAAAACTTCATGGATTAT